GCTGCGGGGCCGCCATAGTGTGCTGTGACCGCCTGCACGTGCCACCCTTGCGCTGCAAGGTCATGCATGTGCGTGAACACACACGCGCACGCACACACACACACACACACACACACACACACACACACACACACACACACACATGCACACTTGGGCTCTGGCACATGCATTGCCCCCAAACCCTTACCCACACCCCCCCTACACACACATACACACGCGCACAGGAACACACGCGCGCGTGCCCACCTGCGCGAGCATGATGGTGAGCAGCGCGTACGAGGCGATGTTGAAGGGCACCCCCAGCCCGACGTCTGCCGACCGCTGGTACAGCTGGCAGGACAGCTCCCTGTCGCTCACGTAAAACTGCGCGCTTGGCGGCGGCGCCCGGGACGAGGTTTTGAGATATGGGGGTGAGTCATGGGTGGCCGAGGGGAGCCGGCGGGGGCGGGGGAGGGCCCAACGGGGTCTTGATTTTTCGGTCAGTCAGCGGGATCAGGCCGTCGCCCTCTCAAAAGCGTGGCCCCGGCCGCACCTGCGCCGTCATGTGGCAGGGCGGCAGCGCCATGTCTGGCAGGGCCGCGGGGTTCCAGGCCGTGAGGATGATGCGGCGGTCCTCGGGTGTCTCGCGGATCATGCGCACCACCTCTGCCAGCTGGTCCACGCCCTGGCCTGGGGGTGGCGGTGAAGGGCGAGTGGATTGCGTGTTTGTGTGTGTGTGCGCGCGCGTGTGTGTGTGTGTGTCTGTGTGTGTATGTGTGTGTGTGTATGCGCGCGCGCGTGTGTGTGTGTGTGTGTTTTGCATGTGTGTGTGTGTGTGTGTTGCGTGTGTTGCATGTGTGTGTCAAGAGATATTGTAGATGGAGTGTGCACGCTTGTGTGGGTAGTTGTTGGTGGGACGAAGGGCATACAGGGGGTAGCAATTTGTACCAGTTGTTCAAGGGGGGTGCCAATGACCAGACGTCGGATCAGCACACGTCCCTGAGCAGTCAAACACAGTCAACCAACGCCGCACGCGGCGCGCGTGCTTTTCTGCGCACCGCTGTAGTCCGTGTGCCTGTCCACGTACTGCGCCCCAAAGTGGCGCCACTGGAATCCATACACGGGCCCCAGATCCCCCTCCTCCCTGGAGTGCGGGGCGGCAGGGGCAGCGCGGACTGGGCGGGCGACGGGTGCGTGATGTTGGACCAGGGAGAGACAACAAAGCGCAGGCAAACGGCAGCCGACTGCGGCCGAGGCGCGGCCGCAACGCCGTCGCCGCAGCTGCTGGGGGCGGCCGCCGTGCGGCCGCACCTGTGGTGCAGGCCGCGCCCATCCAGGAAGTCGCGGCTGCTGTTGCCGTCCCAGATGTGGATGCCCCTGTCCCGCAGCTCGTGGGCGTCTGTTGAGCCGCGGATGAACCACAGCAGCTCCTCCATCACGCCTGGCGGGGGGGGGGGTGTGGAGGTGTGCGGTGAGGAGTGCGGGGCGGCCCGGTGGCGGCGGGGCCAGCCGGGCGAGGTGGGGGTGTGCCGGGCGGCGGAGGAAGCCCAAGGCAGTCTCAGGCTCCGAGGCGCACGCGGCGCTAACGCAGTGCCGAGGCGCCATGGAAGCGGCAGGATGTCTCACCCGCCCTGCAAGCCCCCGCACGTGGGGCGGCTCGCGGGGCCCCGGTGCCGGCGCGCCGCATGCGCCTGACGCGGCCGCGCACCCCTCCAGAACACGCGCTTGGTGGTGAGCAGCGGGAACATGCCGTGGCGCAGGTTGTAGCGGCTCTGCACGCCAAACTTGGAGAGGGTGCCGGTGCCCGTGCGGTCGCCGCGGGGGTTGCCCTCGTTGATGAGCTCAGACACCAGATCCAGGTACTGCGGTTGTTGGTTGTTGTTGGTTGTTGTTGGTTGTTGGTTGTTGGTTGTTGTTGGTTGTTGGTTGTTGTTGGGGCAGACGATGAGAGCCGGGGATTGGGGGTGAGGGATGGAGAGGGCGGCCGCCATAGAGGTAAGGCGGGCTGCTGGAGGGTGGGTGGGGTCGGGGTGCCACGTCACAGGCGCCGGCCCATGCGGCGGTGGGCACGTCGCTTCCTTGGCGCGAGGTAGCACGGCAGGGCCGTGCAACTAGCAGCCGGCAGTGCGTGCAAATCGGGCGCCCGCAGCCCGGACTGCGCACCGGTGGGGGCGGCAGCGGCTTGCGCGTGCCCCGCATGTGGGCGTCGTCCTGCATGCATGTAACCTGCCATGAGCCGAACCAGGAGACAGGCACGCCGCGGGCGGCCCCGGCCCACCTGCATCTCATCGTGGCGGCTGGCCATGCCGGGCGGCAGCCGCAGCTCCTCCAGCTTCTCGTCAGCTTCCTCCCCCTTGCCGCCACCGCTGCCGCCGGACCCAGCCCGCACGTAGGTTACGAAGGAGTAGCGGACCCCGCCCTCGCGCTTGGGCGCCGCGGCGCTCCAGACGCGGAAGGGGCAGTCCACCGCCGAGGGGTCGACGGCGGGGAAGACAGTGTCGCAGGGCGGGTCGTCCTCGATGTGGGTGACGTGCAGCGCCGCGCAGCGCTCTGACGCGAGCGCGTCCCGGTACACCTGGCCGCCGCCGATGACGAACACGTGCTCGATGCCGCGGCGGAGGGCGGGGGACTCGACCAGCGACATCGCGTCCTCGAGGCTGCGAGCGTACAGGACCTGGGGCGCCGCCGCCGACGAGCTGGGAGTGGTCGCGGCCTTCGCGCCGGGGCCTGCGCCGGCGGCCGCGGGCGCGGCCGCGTTGGCGGCGGCGCGAGAAGAGGCGCGGAGCGGCGGCGGAGGCGCGCCGGCGGGGGGCGGCGGCGCGGGGG